GATGCTTGCTCCCTAGCGCGAGCAGTCCATGCGGACCAATCAGAAGACTGCTCCCGACATTTATGGAAACTTCAATATCTTTTGAAGAAAAACCCTAGTGTTTTTCCCTCAGGGAAGTCGAGGGCGCCTCCTTATAAAAAAACTTCTTTCATTTGTTTTATTCTTTCTTATGCTAGTTTTTGCAAGAGACCTAGACATATTTTAGCGATTTTCTATTGTAAGGGAGACGGCTCTTCTCGACAAGAACATCATCCTGAACCCTATCTATTTCTCTTTGGAATTTTATGCAGTATCATTCAATTATTATGTTTTTATGGAGTAGTCGCTGGCTTGTCTAGGTTTCTAGGATGTTAGTCTCATGAGCTAAACATAGATAAGCAATCATATTGTATCTTCATTCATCCAGTTCTTATTGCTTGCTTTAACCAGATCACTTATCGTTGGATCTAGGGTTGTTCTGCTCATTAACCGTGTAGTAGATAACTTGATTGTTGGGTGAATGAGTCTAGCATCCCTAGTCAGCGAGAGCAGATACTGGGGTACTAGATGAACCCATTGGACTTGATCTATATTGCTTGTTATCGGATCTGAGCTCAATCGGGAGTTTAGGTGTTCAGACCGATCTGCAAAGGGAGCTACCACGACAGTGGACTGTTTTACCCGTGTGTTCCTAGTTCTAGATTGTGCTATTTTTTGCTTGTATAATTGTTTGGCTCGGCTTTAACATCTGATGAGAAACCCTAGACCAGCTCTTTTAATCTTGAATTCATAATTCTGCAATTGTTATGTGTATATTTTTCATTGAGATGTATTGTTCGTGAAAATAAAATGTGTGTGCATTAAGTATACATTTTTGTGTTTTCTTTAAACATCCGATTCATTTCAGTGTCATAAGATTTTTAATAGTACCATGAAGCTTCTTTTTATTCTATTTGTTACAACATTATAGAATAAAACATACTAACATAGAACATTGCTCTTCTTCTCCAATGCAACCCAACATCTAATTATGGTATGTGATGAGTGGCAACGATGCTAAATGAAAAGATAATGGAGCTGATGGAATAGTCAAGGAAAATAATCAAGAGGCAAAGGACATACAATTTAAAGAGAATGAGGAAGAGAATTATAGCATACTAAAATGCGATTATAAAAAGAATAGAATATATACTGGTATCCCTTAATATAGGCGTTCGCCCTAGTTTCTCTCTGGTTCAAAGTTGGAGACAACGACGCCGCCAATGCTTCTTGACGCCGGTAAGGTCTCTGGCAGCCGGCGTCGGGACACCAGCTCCGCCTCTTTGTCCTCTGCATGCTCTCTCTTCGTTTTCTCCTTGTTCCATGTGTCTCTTGCTTGGATCTGCGTCTCGGCTAACACCTCCATTAAGGTCGACTCCACTACTCCTCCCGCCATCACCACCCTCCGCTCTCCCCTCGTCTTCGCCTCCTCCAATGTTCTCGTTTCCGACTCCACTACTCCTCTCGCCGTCACCACCCTTCACTCTCCCCTCGTCGTCGCCTCCTCCCAGCTCTTGTCGTCACCGGCACAACCATTCCAGTCCTCGTTTCAGCTTCTCTCTATACAATCGAAAATTTCATTGTCAGATCTACTAAGCCTGAGGGTGGGCTTTCCAGATCTGATATCTTAAGTGTCTATGCTGCTTCTCCACCATTCCTCGCTCCACCGTGTCGCAACCTCTCGAGTCTCCCCTCTCACTGGCCTCTATGGTGAAAGCCCCGACTCTCCCCCTCCTTTGGAGTCGCCATTCACTGCAATCTCGCCGGAAACACCTCAGCGTCAACACCTCATAAGCATCAACAATAACATCTACTATGTTAAGTCACCAAGACAACTCCGTTTCGTCTCCGACCTATGCTGCATTCCACGGCTATTCTGTCGAGCTTTGTGCCTCACCGATTACACTTTGTGAAACTCATTCCTTAGCCGGTGGCCTCTTCATCTCTGTCACTGCTTCTGGACCCGTCATCTCCCATATCGGGTGTTCTTCACTAGTAAGGGCAAGTGTTCTCAACGCTGCTACCATATTTACTCGTCTCATTGCCAGATTTACTGTGCGAGAGTGTGGATTCGCCATATTTAATTATTTCTTTGTCACCGGTGGGTTTCTATCACATTACGCTGTCTCAAGCATCGACGGTTCTTCACAGAGTCGATCATATGATCTTCCCATCCCTTTCCTCGTTGTCGTTACTGTGCAAGAATGTGGACACGCCAAATCTTCTCACTACTACGTTACCGCTTCGTCTCAATCACAGTACGCCGTCTCAAAAGCATCGACGGTTCTTCACAGAGTTGGCTTTACGATCTCCCCACCCCACTCCTCGTCGCAAGAACTATTGTGGAAGAGTGTGGACTCGCCAGATCTACTCGCTACTACTTCGCCGCTGCGACCCATGCACATTACGCCATCTCAAGTATCGATGGTTCTTCACATAGTTTTTTTTGCGACTGTCTCCCCGGAGCTGCTATATTCTACGGAGGTTCACAGACTTCTCACTCTCAAAACCCACTTGTTGGGTTATTCAACGTCGTTTTTGATTTCTTTGTGTTCTTTCGAACACATGCTTTAGGACTACAAGTGAAGCTTCTCTATGGGTCTCTTCTCTCCTTATCCATTTCTATCCGTCGTTATGTTTTAGTTATTTTTGTACATGCAATCTAATTTTCCTTCCCCTTTATGTACATGCAACAAAAACTATTGTATATTTTAAAAAAGAAACAAACTCGGTTTTCATGAGACTACATTATAAGTGAAACACCATAAATTGACACATCATCACAATTTTAAGAAAAATATAAAAAAAATAACTCTTACTTATTATTTAAACCAAATATATTAAAACAACATCAGATAGTCTATAAATGTTTTTACTAAACAACTAGATTTTTTGGCGCGCTAAGCGCGGCTACTCTCTTATACGAATTTTATAATTATATTATCTATATATATTTATATATTGTATAATTAAACTTATAATTAAAAACAGAAGAAATAGAATGTTAATTTAAATAGAAGAAAATAACGATTGACAAAATCATTGTAGTTAATGCAAGTAAGAGTTTCATAAGTAATTCTAATAATGAACAATTTGTTTTATAAAATATAGATTTTCTAGTAATATATATAAAGATATCATAGTCTATCAATTGTAATAGTTATAAATTTATTTTTTATGTTATGTACATGCAATCTAATTTTCCTTCCCCTTTATTATCTTAACCTAAAAAAAGAGAAAAATGTTTTTTATTTTGCGTGTGTTTTTGTATTTTTTTATTTAATGCATTATAGAATGAAATATATAATAGATTAACATTGATAAAAGATTTAATGTTAGATACTAACAGAAACAAATTAAATTTCAAAACTATTGTATATTCAAAATAGCACATTTATTAGTTTCTTTATCCTTTTTCCTGGTAATCGACAAAAAAAAAAATGTGCCGAAATTGATATGAACCCGTGTTTTGATTGAATGAGGAGATACAGTCATATATATAATGGTACACTTTCAAAGCTTTTAAAGGTGTCCACGTAAACATTTTGTGGGTTCCGCGCGTTTAATTTTTAAAAACCTATAGTTTTTCTAAAATGACTATTAACAATTAATACACTTTAGCCGACTGGTATAAGGTATCTAATTAAGTATGTAAGCGTGTGGGTTCAAACCACGCAGCTATTATGTATTTTAGTTTTTTCGTTTGAGTTATTATCATATGAGCTTTTTGGTTTTACTGTTTTTATGTTTTCTTTCCTCTGGAATTATTATTTAAAGCCCAAAATAGTGGAAAAATTTCTAAAGTTTAACGAACTCAAATACAAAAACAATTAAAAATGGATCAAAAAACGAACAACCCTCTAAAAAAAAAAAAAGAAAAAACGAGTCCCACGCGGCATTGTCATGTCTTAATATATTTTCTATTAGAACATATTTCCTAATATATATTTTCAAAAAATTATGTATGTAAAATAAAATAAAAAAAATTACAAAATTTAAGTACTTTTGTTATTTATAAAATGAATATGTAATTTTTCTTACATTTTTAATAGTTACTATAATTTCATTTTTATCAGACTCCGGCGAATGGATTCTCACAGTCGATGACACCGTAAATAAAAATGCCACATTATTCATGAACAAAATCCATACTTACAAAAAAACATATACAAACCTATCTAATGAAACTCAAACAACAAATATTAGCTTAAATTAAAGTTATTTTCAGATTGATAAATTGTTTAGTACAAATATAAATACTATAAACAAATAATTATATCAAGTTTTGACCTCCGATATAAAAACTATTTACAACATAAAAAAAAATAAGATAGACACCTATTTTTACACACTATAAACTATATTATAATTTAATTATTCCTATAAACCTTACTTTGCATATAAATAACACGTAACACATTATATATATATTTTCACTTTACACTCTTGCTACATTCTTTCCATTTCATTATTATTTGGTATTATTAGAAGAACCCACTAAACCAACAACCAAAAAAACATAGGCAAACATCAATGTTCCCGGCACCGCCCTTGCGGGGGGTATGGAACTAGTATTTATAGTGCAACAGACGATCCTAAAACTATTAGAGAAAGAAGCTTGGTCCCAAAGCTAAGAAGAAACTTATTCCCAAAGCTATAGGAGAAGCTTTACCCCCAAGCTATCATAATTCTAATACGATGCAATCGTGATATATATGGAAATTACCTATAAGAAAGATCTAGAGTAATCCAATATATACAACTTTTTTTTTTGTTAACAGTTAACAATATGGAGATTTGTATCTATCAATACAAAGATCTAGAATGTTCCGAAATATAGTATCGAGACCTAGGTCTCTACTATATATATGTATACGTAGTTTCAATCAAAACGCATCTTCATTCATATCCTTAAACCTATATCTTTCTTTAGCTCCGCCGCCAGTAAACTCTCTGAGACGTTCGCATCGCTCATTGACAACATGGCCGTCACAGAAGGACAACAAGTCATGGCTCTCATCAGCAAGCGTCTCCGTGCTCACCGCAAGAAATTCAACCGTATTATTGAGATGGAAGAGTCGGTTTCTCTAGGAAAAACCCTAAACAAGGAGCAAGAAGAAGCCATCCGCTTGAAGCCAATCGTCACTGCCCTTATTGAGGAGCTCGAGAAGCTCCATCTTCTTCCTTCCACGGCCGCTTCTGAAGAGATCAGCCTCCCTGTCAAGAAAAACAAAAACAAAAACAAAAAGGTATATGCCCTTATTTTACTCTTAGTGTTATATTAGCGGCGTTGTACCATGATACAGATCTAAACCTAGTTTTTTTTTTCTTTTGTAGGAACGTAAGGAGGTAGCCGTGGAGGATAAAGTAACTGAGAAAGACGTGACGAAAATTGAGAGTTGCAAGATCTCTGATGGTCTTGATGCTGGTGAGGTCTTGAAGGACAATATTTCTCCGTGTAGGGTAAGCTCACAAGATGGTACGTCATCGCCCCCCTCGGCGAGTCGTGGAAAGCCACGACGTAAACGGAAGGCGAAGAAACCTCAGACTTCGAACTGATTGTTTCTCCAACTTTTGTTCGAAGCGGAAGTCTGTGCAAACAAAAGTATTATGAATTGCTTTGGTCACAATCTTAGTGTTCTTCCGCTCGTTCGTAAGAGCTTTTTGCGTTTGAGTTTTCTTTCTACTATTTTTGGTTCATTATGAATTTATTCCCGGAGAATTGTTTGGTCACCTTTTGAGTTCTTTTCACTCCTATGAAATATCAATAAATTAAAAGTGAGTTACAGACACAATATGACTTTAAGAGACATTTATTAAAATTAGCACACAATATAGAGACTGTAAAATTTTGCACACAAATAACCCTGGTTTTGTGTAACTCACTCTTTGTGAGTTGAGTTGTAACTAGAATTGAGATAATTAGCAATTAATGAAAAAAATGGTTAAAAGGTATGTATATGGAGAAAAAAAAGAGGTTTTGGACGTTGGATCTGATTAAAAGCAAAACATTTAAGGATACTATCACCCTAATTAGTAATTACACTGGAGAGCTTCTTTTCTTTATATTATAAATTATCCTAAAACATTTCATTTTTATTATATTTCTTCTTATTATTTAGTATTTTGTGATCTTATAAAAACAATTATTTTTTGTATAAATTATGATTTTTTTCTTATACAGTTTAAATACATTTTAATATATTTTTCTATATTATATACGAAAAATGTATAGGCAAGAAAAGATGTGGACAAAAGAAAATGGATGAAGAAACATAGATGAGAAAACATGTAAACAAAAAATAAACGTGTTGATGATTGTGGATAAACAATTGTGTATAGCTAAACATGTTGGATATATATGGTTAAAAGGCAACATGCAATCAATCTTGTTTATACAATTTTTTCTTCTACAGTGGATGAGAAGTGTGTGGATGTTGTCTTGTGGACAAGGATTCTTGGACAAAGTTTTTAATCTTACAAGAGATTTTGTAGACTAGAAATTATCACAACGATCTTGATTCCACACTCCAGAGCCAATCAGAACAAAATTCTACCGACCAGATCTTGATTCCACACTCCAGAGCCAATCAGAACAAAATTCTACCGACCACAGTTCTCATGACCACAAATCTCAAAATTATAATTAGCCTGAGGAAGACTTCCATGTCCACAACTCTTCTGGCCATAATTTTTCTGACAATAGTTTTCATGACCACAATTACGTTGACCACAATTCTACTGACCACAACAAAAGCTTCTAGGGAAGACGATGGCATTCTCTATTCACTGTAAAAAATTTAACAACATGTAAAGAGTTTTGGATTACAAAGAGAAAACATACTATGTTTAAGTAGTTGCTTTTGAAATGATTGTTTAACCTTCCATGTGGGATTGTATGTGGACCAAAGTGGCGGAAGCTAACAACAAAGAGGCGGCAACGGACACAGAGAAATGTTAAAAGAAAAAAGAGAGAAGAGAGAAAATTTCAAAAGAAAAAATAAATCAAAAAGGATTAAGAACCAATTTCTAGATCGAGAAGATGTCGGATGGGAGGAATAGGTTAATATTTGTTTGTGAGACTTCTTGTAGAGATTTGGTTTGAAAAGGAAAGGATAATCAAGATTTTTTTTATTTTAAAAAGAAAAGATATCTGATTTTTATTTTATTGAAAATTGATTTAGAGTAGTTAGAAACGCCAATGAAAAAGAGAGTCACGTTAGTAAGATAACAAGAGATCATTCTTAATTAACTTCTTAGTTGTAGGGTATATTGGTCAAATTGACAGGGTAGAGTGATTTCTATACACAATGTGTCTCTTATTGATATTAGAAACCCCAATGTGTCTTCTAGGGTAATTCTTGTAGAGTTACACTAAGAGACACAATATGACTTTTTTAATCATAAGTATTGAAAAGTGTAACCATTCGTAAGTTATGAAAACACGTTCGTTTCAAAGTTGGGCCGACTGCGAGGAATAACGTCACTTCTTTTTGTTCGACAGACTGTCTAATTTATGGGAAATTAGACCTAATACTCCTAAAAATAAAAAGAAATACAAATTCACTAACTAAATCACCCCTTTTCATAATTTATCTTTCTATCCCTCTCTACCATCTCTATAAATCTAATTTACATTTTTTTGACAAATAAGCTCTTAATTTATTCTATCTATCTTATTAAAACACAAACATTAAGTTGGACCTAACATTATAAGATTTGTATTGAGAAAGCTTAACTTTATTATTCACAATGACTCTCTTTTTATACAACAACATATCGAGAGATAGAGATGAGTAGAACTTATCTAGAGCTAAAGATTATCTCTAAGATAAACAAAACATAATTCATAATTATCTATAGGATACATCATTATCCTAATATCCCCCCCCCCTCAAGACGAAGCACGGTTAGTGATACCGATCTTGGTAAAGAGAAGTCGAAACCGGTTCCTTGTAAGTGGTTTAGTCAGTCCATCAGCGAGTTGATCTTTAGACGAAACATGAGCCACACGCAAAGTACCATTCTGAACCTGTTCTCTAATGAAGTGAAAGTCAAGCGCAAGGTGCTTCATTCTCTAGTGAAAGACTGGATTATCACTGAGATATGTAGCACCAACATTGTCACAATAGATTGTTGGAGTTGTCGTGATCGGAATGTCAAGCTCACGGAGAAGAGAAAAGATCCATCGCACCTCAGCAGCAGCAGCAGAGACAGCCCTGTATTCAGCTTCAGTAGAAGAGCGTGCCACACCAGTTTGTTTCTTTGCAGACCATGAGATGGGATGTTGGCCAAAGAAGACAACATATGCACCAGTAGACATATAATCATCCTTATTGCCAGCCCAGTCAGCATCAGAATAAGCATGGAGTGAGGGAGAGCAGTGACGAGAGAGGAAGAGACCAGTTGTATAAGTACCAGCCAGATATCGAAGAACTCTCTTTGAGGCAAGCCAATGAACGTCTGACGGTTTGTGCATGAACTGAGAGAACTTGTTTACTGCTAAAGCAATGTCAGGTCGCGTAAGGAGTAGATACTGCAGACTTCCAACGACTGTTCTGTACTGCGAAGGATTCTCAAGTGGTGTACCATCATGAATAGAGAAAGCCGTGGAGACACTCATAGGCGTTGTAACTGGCTTTGCATTAGTCATGTTAGTGGAGTGAAGGAGATCACCAATGTACTTACGTTGTGATAGATGTATTCCTTGGGACGTACGGAAGACTTCAGTGCCAAGAAAATAGGTCAAGTCATCAAGATCTTTGAGTGAGAACCTGCGAGATAGAGTCTTAATGACATCCCGGATCCTAGACAGAGAGTTGCCAGTACTATAATATCATCGACATAAATGAGGATGAAGATGACAGTCCCATTGTGACGAAGGAAGAACAGTGAAGAATCTGCAACTGAGTTTCGAAATCCAAGGCTGAGTAAGTATGTCTTTAACTCAGTGTACCAGGCACGAGGGGCTTGTTTCAAGCCATAGAGTGCTTTGTTGAGCTTGCACACATGATTTGGCTTATCTTTGTCAACAAAGCCAGCAGGTTGAACCATGTACACCTCATCGTTGAGTCTCCCCTGAAGAAAAGCATTGTTAATATCCAACTGTTTCAGAGGCCAGTCATACTTAGCAGCTTGGCCTAAGAGAAGTCGAACTGTTGGTGACTTGATAACAGGGCTAAAGGTCTCATGATAGTCGATGCCTGGTCTTTGGTGGTAACCCTTAGCAACCAGTCTGGACTTGAGATTCTTAACTGTGCCATCAGGATTGAATTTTAACAAAGATCCACCGATTGCCAACAAGGTTAGTGGCTTTCTCTGCAGGGACCAGACTCCAAGTGTTGTTCGCTATTTGAGCATTGAACTCATCTGTTGCAGATTTGCGCCAACAGTCATCAGCCAAAGCCTGAGTGATCGTGTTGGGTTCAATGTATGGAGCGAGTGTGGTGCTGAGACCGTACTTCGGATTTGGTTTGACAATGTTGTTGCGAGATCTGGTTGTCATAGGATGCTGAGATTGTTGCAGTTCTGTAGTGGTAGAAGGGACTGTTGTTGATGGCTGCTCAACCTCTGGTGTTGGATCCTCCAAACGCCCATGTTCCTGACCAAAATGACGAATAGGTTCTACCGTAGGAACCCACGCACTCTCAGGTGTTTCATCAGAAGAAGAGACATTAGCACTTAGAGAAAGAAAAGGAAATTTATTTTCAATAAAAACAACATGACGTGAGATGAAAATCCGAGAAATAGAAGGATCCAAACAAAAATAGGCACTTTGAGTTAAGGAATAACCAAGAAAGACACATTGAGTGGAACGAGGTTCCAGCTTATTACTCGTGTATGGTCGCAGCCACGGATAACAGAGACAGCCAAAGATCCTCAGCTTTGAGTAGTTGGGTGTTGCTCCAAATAGGCGGTGATAAGGCGTGTCCATGGAGAGCACTTTTGTCGGCATACGATTGATAAGATAGACTGCAGTAGCAAATCCATACGTCCAGTATTCAACAGGAATTGAAGCATGAGTGAGAAGTGAAAGACCTGTTTCAACAATGTGTCGATGGCGTCTCTCAGATAAACAATTGTGTTCTGGTGTGTGAGGTGGTGTGGTGAGGTGAGAGATGCCGTGTTGTGAAAGAAACGATCTGAGTGCAATGTATTCCCCTCCATTGTCGCTGTATAAGGTCGTGATTTTGGTCTGGAATTGAGTCTCAACAAGTTGTTTAAACTGAATGAACGTGGCTGCGACCTGAGATTTAAGCTTCAGAGGAAAGAACCACATGTATCTAGTAAAGTGATCAACAATGAGGAGATAGTATTTGTAACCATCAAAAGAATGAACAGGAGAGGACCAGACATCAGAAAACACAATTTGTAAAGGACGAGAAGAGGATATAGAGGTTTCATGGAATGGCAACTTATGACTCTTATTAATTGAACAAGCATTGCAATGAGAATTGTTTGAAGAACGACAAGAAAAACCAGGAGAAAAACTAGAAGAAATATGCTGTAAAATCGGAAAATCCGGATGTCCTAGTCTGTGATGCCAGTCTAAGGACGATGAAGTTACAGCAGAGAAAGCCAGAGGAGTGCGTGAGTCATTGGTAGGCCATTCGTAGAGATTGCCATTAGCTGGCGCGGTCAGAACTGGTGTCCCCGTTTGAAGGTCCTTCACCTGAAACATAGATGGAAAGAATTCCACAGAGGTATTGTTAGTTTTGCAGAAACGATTAACCGA